TTATAATGAATTTTAATAATTTTTTCGAATTTTTTTGAAGCTTTAATATGACCGATTTAGCCGATTCCAGATCCGGTTTGTCGATTCGCCGATCCAAAACGATTTTTAAGATGCCCGATTTGGGCCCCTGATATGCTTTTTAAACCATTGCTAGTGAATAATCTAGCTTTTGAAGAGAGAGAGAGCGTTTCAATAAAAATATAATATGGAGGTTGTATCATAGTCTAATGCAAGTAACCATACTTCTAGAAAACCATGATTTTGACATTTGTATGACTCTAAATTTTGCACACACATTCTGTTCATCCTCGCGATCAATTTTATGAAAAAAAAAATTCAATTGGTACCATCCAACAATGAATATCGACCGTCTATTCGGAGAATTTCAAGATCTAAGCCTTGATAAATTCAAAATTACTTTTTTCCTTTTTAGCATTGTTAATTGAATGATAATAACTTTATATAAAAATTCTGGGAATAAAAAAATCCTTTTGAAGACTATATCTAACCGCTCACTAAAATGGACGGTTCATATTAGTTGGGCTAAAAACACATTTTTTAAAGCGTTTTTTATTTATTTATTTATTTTTTTTGTGATTATTCTTTAGAATGAAAAAAATATACATCTAAAAAATTACGTCAAACAAATATCTTTAATATGATTTTTTTTAATGTGGTTGCAAAATACGATGAAACAACCGTCGAATGAAATTATTGCTGTATAATATGAACCATACAGCACGAACAGCTACTTTATTACCATCCGTTCATGTGGGGTGGACGGGCCTCTATCACCGTGGCACCCGCACGATTGGACGGTGATAACCTCATGACCATTATGATCAATGTCAAACATGTTATATAGTTCCTTGTCCCTCACACTTTCGCGCCCATCTTTAAACTTCCATGTCTCTAAAGAGTCCAACAACCATTTCTCTCTCAAAAGTCTAAACTCACCCGCTCCACCTCTGTTTAAACAGTTTAGTGTTCGTAAAATCAAATCGAAACGGTTAACCGGACATGGAAGTAGTTTAACCATAGAAGTAGTTTAACCAGCCTAACTCGTAAATCGGTTGATTCAACCGCTTTAATTGAGTACGTCTTGAATGACAAAAAAATGTTGAAAAAAAAAAATGTACAAAAAAATATACTAAAATATAAAAAGCATATAAAGAATTATTAAAACAAAACACATTCAAATGAAATTGAAAATTAATGAAAAAAATGGATTTTAATCTATTTTATATTTTCCAAAAGCTATTTTATTTTTTATTTTTAAAATAGATGGAAAAATACAAAGTGATTATTAATGATCAAACCAAATTTAAATATTTACCATAATGTAAAGAATATTTAAAAATATATTACAAATCAAATTCTTTATTTTTAAGAATTTATATACCTTTTTTTTTAAAATACCCGTTGATCACCCAAACTTCCTAAAACCAGAACCGGTGTGATCTTACCAGGCGGTTAGCCGATAGATCAGACGATCTTCCCAACAATGAAACAGTCCCGTATTTTAATATCCCCTTGCTCTCTCTAAATCCAAACTATCCTACGTGCTAAGGGAAAAAGATTATATCAGGATACTACCTTATAATGTAGAACTATGGATGCCCCTCAAAAATCCATAAGAAAAGGTAGTTTTAATGTTG